AGTACGCCTCAGGAATAACTAACTAATTGATTGACAGGATTGGAATTCGCATATAGGACATAAGATTTAGAAATATTCGAAGATGTTCTTTGGGATAAAAAGCAACTCTGATGAGTGCATTTTCGACTCTGGCGCCCCAACTCGTCTTCGGACTAACAGGAAAAGCGCAATGAACAACTAAAATGTCAAAACTGCCGTAAAAATCAATAGTCATATAGGGTGAGACGAGATTGGTGGGTGTGGCCTCAGTTAGGGTCTGTTGTGCGGCCTCTTTTTTTTCCATCGTTCTTTGACGTGCGATACTGCATATTGTGACCAAACAGGAAGATCGGTCTCCACACGCATCCACGAGCACTAATTGGCCGTGAAGAGACGTGACCAAAGTGTCCGAAGTGGCTATGCATTGCCTCGATACAGGATGCACCTTTGCATGGGATAAAACACGCATCGTCGGAGTTTGCTCCTCCAAAAATGGCCGAGAATTCCTCGAAGCCATGTACTCCGACGATTCATGCATCAACCGGCACGTCGAGTTGGATGGTATTTATAAGCACGTCAAAAAACGATGGGAAAAACAGAGGCCACACCCAGCAACCACGTCTTACCCTATACGACTATTGATTTTTTCGTCAGTTTTGAAATTTTAGTTGTTCATCGCTCTTTTCCTGTTAGCCCGAAGACGAGTTGGGGCGCCAGACTCGAAAATTCACTCATTAAAGTTACTTTTTGTCCCAAAGAACATCTTCAAATTAAAATTTCTTGTGATGCGTGTGTTCCAGTTTATATGAATTTAGAAGTATGAATATATGTGCTTTGCCGATCTAGTAGAGGAACAATTAAGTTCCGCTTTGCCCAGGATCCGGCATAAACTTACTATACGCCAACCTTAAGCCGAACACTAACCACAAACCTAAACTTATTTTTTTTCCTGGAATACGGCGGTTCTTGTTCTTATGTCCTGCTTAGGGGACCATATAAGTACTTCAGAAGAGGATGCGATAGCTGGAACATGGTGTTTACTGACCTCACATTTCGGATTCTCGCTCGAACCCGTTTCTGATGATGGGTTGAAGCGAAAATCCGAAACACTAGGCCAGGACATGCCATATTCCACTGATCACGTCTTCTTCTTTTGAACTGCTCCCTGGTGCTCGCTTGTCCATCTCTATCAGTTTTTTAAGTATGTTTTACCAAATTGTCTTTGCCTATTAGTCCAACCTTGCATCATAGTCGCTTGGTTGAGATCTTTCTCTTATGTTATGCAGGCACTTTTCTTTTTGGCTTATAAACCACCTTGAAAGGGTGTTTTGAATTCTCCTTAGTAAACCTCAATGCACATCAGATGCATCATCCTTGTGGGCACTGGGAAACCGTTTGCGCAAACATCCGGGACAGTCCGGGTTCACTGTTTTACCATGGATAATCGTGTCCGAAGTGTTCTTCATCATTGAAGGCCTCTTAAATCAAATAGAAAGGTTGTTTAACAAATGCCAGAGAGGAATCGTTTAACTCCTGTAAATATGGCCACAATGGTGAGAACTGCACGCATTAACGACTAGCAGCAGGACAAACGGAGGTCTCACTGCACTCCCGGACATTAGTCTCTCAGGGGTTTGGACGTTAGTGACTCCCCAGGTGGCTTCAACAACCAAGTATCTGCTTGGAGGGAGCATAAGGTCGCCGAGTCGTTTTTGCAGGAGTGGGGGGAGGAGGGTGGACGTCTGCGATTTGCATCCCTCAATTCAAACTATTCAATGCAAGATATTGATGTGACCACCCACTAGTCTAGCAGGAATGCACACAACCCCTCCACCCCCACGTGTCCATCTCTCGCGTGACAGAGTATACCTCCACAGCACCTGTCTGCGTCTGCCTAGCAGTCCATCCCGTATCTAACAACAAAAATGCAAATTGTAGCACCTTCAGTTTCTCGCACGTACTAGCCTCTTACCGTGCCTCCCTACTTCCCGCCCAGTGACAGCTGCGACATGTCATTGTTGACGGTTCTCTGACGGACAGCATCGGGCCACTTTCGCAGGTTCCATGTAACCATCCACAATTGGGTCTTAATTAGAGGAACAGAAAAAGAAGCTGACACGATTGGCGTTCATCTCCAGGTTGAAGAGACGGCATATTTTCTATGTCAGCGTCTTCTGCCCTTATTTTTCACCCCTATGAGTCCGTGCCTCAATGTAGTGCGCCGGTAACTAGGCCTTGGGTTCGACCAGACGGTTTTTATACCTCCACTTCTTCTAGTCGTGCACTATCAGTAAAGCAAGTGTCCATGACTGGCTATTCGAACGGATCATCGCAGCGTGATTAAACAGGGGTGGGGGGAATGTGCTGGTTACTTGTTTGACAGTTAAAAAACTCAACCGATATACGATCAAACGTCTTTTTGGTTGATAATGGTCTAGTTTTGCACTTTAAATTATCAGCGACAGAAATACTTGGCTTTGCCAAATCACGGTGGTCCGCCCACGTATACACCATACTACTTGGTCTTCTCATTTCCTACTCAGTTTGAAAAAAACGACCTTATTAAAAAACAGCTGCATCCCTCCGCAACCATTGGTAGTTATCCCGATCGAAAGCGACAAGAGAACGAGTCCGTGGTGCAGTGAGCGTTGGACTTCTAACCAAGAGGTTGCGGGTTCGAGCCTCGGGTGGTGCACCGCCTGAGATTGGGGATTAGTGGCTGCTGGCAGCCAATGAGCCAGGCGTGGTTATTCCAGCCTCCCTGGTCTTAGTCGGCAATGTCATTCCGCTGTAGGGCTGCTGGTGGAGTTTTAGAATGAGTCCCAAGGCATAACGGAACGAGTAAGTCCCTTAGCCGAACGGTGAGCGCACATCTACCATTGAAAGTTCTAATAACCTTGTCTTGAAGAGTTTTATTAGCCACCGCTCGGGGCAAAGTTGCGCTTGTCCGATGAAATCGCGAGTGTGTATGAGGAGCGACTTAATCAATCCCCTGTAAGAATACTGGAGCCAGTCTTGAATATGCCTAACCGAAAAGCCCCTTAATTTTGAAGCATTGATAAAAGGCAGGATTTATAGACATAAGTATGAATTAATCTGCATTAATGTATTACTTGTGACAGATTATGGAATGCTCTGTGAAACTTAAGTCAATTGATATAGCGATTCAGTATATAGAGGCGTCTGTGTAGGTGTTAGTGCGAAGTAGTTGACTGGTGGACCCAGAATCAGACTGCAGTGACTCCTTAGTGCGACTTCTATGGCACTTCCACTCCATGGGATCTGAGCCAGGTTTTAGGCGGTTCCGGACGCGCCAGCCACCTGCGCTCTGTTCCCCTCCGTTCTTCTTGACTTGGTCATGACATCGGACCAACGTGGCGGAGAAGGAGAGTGTGGAAGATGCAACGCAAGTCCACTCTTTCTATAATCTACTTTGCATGCATGTTACCGCGGTTGCTTCCAGCCGGCTGTGAAGCAATTGTTTAACACAGCCGAAATCGATGGCCGAACTGTGGGCGAAATGTAAAGCTGAGTCTCCATCACAAAACTTTCCGTCTCTTGCTGATAAGCGACAACGTAAACAGTGGGATAGTTGGCAGTCGAGCTTATCCTACAACAGGTCAAGCGTCAGATGCGCTTGAACAATAGGGATGCCAGATCAAATCATGGCAGACATTTTAGGAGATGCGCACCCATAAAAGTGACAAACATTGTAGGGGGAGGGGGTGCTGGCATCCCTAGGCGCATGCTCACGCCGAGCCGGCAACCCATGTCCGATTCAGG